ACCAGTTCCACAAGCTGTACCAGTTTCAGTACCACAACCTATCGGTGTACCTGTACCACAACCGTATCCAGTAACTGTCGCTCAACCTGTCCCAGTTAGGGTACCACAAACTGTTGTAGTACCAGTACCACAAATTGTCAACATCGGCGGCGGAGGTGGTGCTGGAATCGGAGGAGGATTCGGAGGTGGATTTGGAGGTGGTATTGGAGGAGGAATCGGCGGTGGAATTGGAGGACATGGAATTTCTGGAGGATTTGGAGGCGGCCATGGAAGCAGCTACTCTTCTGGATCTTCAATCGGCGGTGGAAGCAGCCATTTTTCGTCCTTTTCTGGAGGTCATGGTGCATCCGGATTTTCTAGCATTTTGTTAGGACATGGCCACTAAATGTACCATTTGTAATAATCTTGTAAATCACCAATAAATAATTTAACTCAAAGTTCTTATAATTGCAACACCTATAATAATGCTTACAATTCAAATATAATCTAATATCTAAATATATTATTTTTGTCGATTTCATAAATTGAACACAATTTCTACAATTATATATTGAAAACAAACATTAATAAACATATGAAAAAAATCTATTTTTTGTATTTATCTATTTTATCTAGTTTACATATTTTAAATTTCCTTGAAATATTATATTAATTCCCATATCAATCATGCATTTACTATGATTTTTTCGTGTTCTTCTAACGAAACTTGTAAAGAGACTACATATCTAAATTGAATTTTATTCAGATCTTCTAGTAGTTATATAATTATTCATAAAATACGTTTGTATAAAAATAAATAAGTACTCTGTTTGACACACGTTAACACAAAATAAGTGCTACGTTCATGGCCGGATTGGTCTGAAACCATTGTACATTCAAAATAAAATTGAACCTTAGTCGAAAATATGATAATAATAAACGATATACATTTTTACAGATTTTAGTAGAAAATAAATCTATATAGTTATTACATGCAATGTGTTAAATTTTCAAACATTTGCTTACTGACTTCAAACAATTATTAATTTATAGAAGTAGTATGAAAAAATAAGAGAATTAATTGGTTAATACACTTGATCAGATAGTAAACTTTTTGGAAAGGAAGTTAGAAATTTAAAAAGTTTAATAAATTACTTGAAACTACAAATATTATTTTTTAATTGTTAAGTCATGGAATACGTTGTTTATTGAACTAAGGCTTAGTTACATATTTCATTGATTTACTCGAAAACTATAATAGATAGAATGAATCCAATATATGCGTATGAAAGCTGAATGTTTGTATAGTGTAGATACATTCCTGTGCTTTTATCCATATTGCTGTAATACGCGTTCAAAATTGAAAAATTGAAATTAGAACGTTAAAAAAAAGCAGTGTTTTCACATTTCATTGATTTACTCGAAAACTATAATAGATAGAATGAATAAAATTTATGCATATGAAAGCTGAATGTTTGGGGAATCCAGCAAGTATAGAAACATTCCTGTGCTCTTATCCATATTGCTGTAATACGCATTCCTTTTATGAAGTTTGGAAACCACTGAACTAAGCGATTGGACGAAGGTATGAGAGATTGCATTGAAATAAGAAGTAATGTATCAATCTTAAAAAAAATAATTGAAAAATGCATTTTCTAAATTTGCATTATTAATTTTGTTGTGTAATTAATTGTATTGTTACATTATTCACGCGAATGTGTTCTTTTGATTAATGTACTCCCTCCATCGAGAGCAACGATGGGTAAAGGATGGTATAAAAAGCTCGAGCAGCAGATGGTAAGACATCACTTCTATTTGTTGAACATCCCGAGCACCAGTGATGAACACCCTATTGGTACGTACCGTTAAACATATTTCAATACAACGAAATCAATAATGTATTGCTAATAGGTTGCTACTGTGATCCTCGCTGTAATTTCCATCAGCTATGCAGAAGAGAGGAGAGATAAACGTGGTGTAATTAGCGAAGGCTATTCTTCATCCGGAGGGAGTGAAAGTGGAGACGATGGAGGTCATGATTTGTCTGGAGGAGGAGGAGCAGTAGGAGGTGGAGGCGGAGGTGGATACGGTGGTGACCAAGGGGCTGCTCTCGGAAGTGGTGCCGGAAATGGATTGGGGGGTGGTGTGGGAGCAGGAAACGGCGGTGGAGCTCGTATAACAACAATTAGCCAACGTGTGCCTGTTCTCGTCCCACAACCATACCCTGTAACCATAAACCAACCGGTGGCTGTGCCCATTCCGTTCCGTGTTCCAGTCGTAGTACCACGTGCAGTCCAAATATTTGTGCCAATTCCTCAGCCAGTAATCGTTCCACGACCATACCCTGTCACCGAATACAGAAGGGTGACTATTCCAATTCCACAGCCCGTACCTGTTCCAGTACCACAGCCAGTTGGAATTTCTGTACCACAACCATACCAAGTCATCGTTCGTCAAACCGTTCCAATCAGAGTACCCCAAACCGTTGTAGTTCCGGTACCTCAATTTGTTAACGTCGGAGGTGGAGGTGGTGCTGGAAATGGAGGAGGAATTGGCGGTGGAATTGGAGGAATTGGCGGTGGAATTGGAGGTGGCATCGGAGGAGGAATTGGAGGACACGGAAATGGAATTGGTTCTGGAGGATTTAATGCCGGACACGGTAATGGAGGCCAAAGCAGTGGTTATGAAAAACATTGATACTGAATTATTTTTATTTCAAATTGTAAATTTCTCAATATTAGACAATAAATAATAAGTTAGAAAAATCATTTGTAACTTCTTCGTAAACCTAAATAATGTATTCATATTTACTAATTATACATTTTCTGGTAATTTATTAGCTAATCATAAATTCTAAAACTCTTAGTCGGTGTATATAAAACAGTGGTGATCAAATAAATGTTGCTAATTAAAAACAAGCAAAATATTTGAGAACCGGTGATAATTAAAATTCGCGACTGAATGAACACCCGTTTAATTAATTAATTTTATTGGCTGGCATCAATGGACGTAATGAGTCCCTAATTATTCCCTCGAGACTGGAAGGGGGGGTAGGTACATCAAAATACTCAACTCGGAATTCGAGCAAATTGCGTGCTCGAGCTGCGTGTTTATAATTGTATTTTTTTTGTATTACTCATAAGACAAAAATGAAAAATGTATTTCCCAATTCTGTCTCGGTAACTATGGCATGTTTACAATAAGCCACGTCTACAATCTTCCCTTAATTTATTGATGGTGAATTCTGAGGCACAATCGCAGATTACAATTAAGCGTAAATTAATTAGAACGACTGAAATATAAGGAATCCTGATGGTGACGACCTATATTTGAGGAACTTGCAAAATTTGAATTTGTTCAATATTCATAACCGAATCGTGCGCTTTCGATTCAATAATTCCCATTTTAATTGAACAAGTCGACCGTGCAACTCGTTTACAAAAAAAAAAATGTATATACATCGATGTGTATTTGCTCTAATTGAATACAAGCTCTTTTTTTTGTCCATTAATTACTACGGCCCATTCATCGGAAATCAATTCTGGAGTTGTTAAGTAATTTAAACATTTCGCAGTGTATTTTTGTTACTTTACAATTTTTATAATAATAATAATAGCTTGAAAGAAAGAATTTGTCGATCGATTACCAAAATTAACGGTTAATTTGAATTTGAATAAAAATGCAGAATGTCCACCTTCTTCATAATGAAACCAAAGCAGAAAGATTATTTTCTTCTGCAGTGGCAATATTTACTAAAATTCTGTTTAATTATTATCACTTTGCATAAATTCTGATTAAGAAATAACAACTTTTATCATACCATAAAAATATTGCCGGTAATAACCGATGTTTACTTAAATATTTAATATATGCACAAAATGCTCAGTGATTCCTTGAAGACGGTTTAAAAAGATCAAATGTTTAAATTAAATATGTCTGTCGATCTCCCAGAATGTCTTGTAATAGTAATCAATAATTAATGCTGTGGCCTACTTTTCGAACACGAACACCGGTCTTGTCAGACTTAAAAAGTTTATTTGTTTACGTTCAGAAGTTGTAAACATCTTCAAAGCAAACAATCGTTTAAAAATATTCAAAAAAAAATAAGACTACATCCCAGGAAAATAATATTTGAATATCATGTATAAATACATTTTATTTTACGATACCTTCCGAAGATTGAGTACTCTTTGTAAACTCGGAACAAAGCGAAACACAACACAACACGAAAAATCCGTTTTGTAAGTTTAAACGATTGTAAACACTTTACTTTTATTTCGGGGAAACCTGCTCCGACGCTCTACGTATCGACTGCGACAAGAATATAAATTTCAGATCATCTCGTGTCTCGCTGACGCAATCCGATCTGTAAAATAGGCATTCAAATGAAATGCATTCCGAATTTATTTTCCGTATGTAATGGAAATCCGTTAAAACGATAAAATTAATTCCGGAAGTTTGTGTTGGGTCCGACGTTTCTTTTTGAACAGTTGTTGTCGCATTGCAGATCGTTCGGATTGGAACTAGGAACGTTCAAATGTATGTAGCACACGTAATTGAGAGGGAATGCTCTCAGTTGAAACTACTCTTTAGGAAGTCTCCAGGGGTAACTTTGGTTTTTAAATTAACTCCAGTTAGGAACCCTCCGAGCTCGAACCACTGATATTTATGGGTCCATTTATAACATTTATTATTTATTCCAATCTATCGAACGCAAAACGCTATTGCTTCGCATTGCCTCTCTATATACTCATTTTTTTTACTTTTTTTTTCAGCAGTAGCAGCAGTTATTTATTTTTGGGTTCGGCCATTTACATATATTCGCAGATTTTAGATACAAACCAAATCCAGATTTACATATAAATTAATCTGATTGTCGAGGCGGGCAAAGAGCGACGCGCCAATAAAAAAAAAAACAGAAACAAAAATTCCGAACAAATTTACATTTTTATAATCAATTGAACCATGGTCGAACAATTAATACGATTCGATCGTGGCTTTGTTCCC